CTGGCTCTGCTGCCCAGGGTAGAGTGCAATGCTGTGATCATAAGTCACTTCAGCCTCCGCCTCCCGGGCTGAAGTTATCCTCCCACCTCAGCCTCCCAAGTAGCTGGGACTACAGGCTCACACCACGACATGCGGCTAATTTTTGTAGAGACAGAGTCTCCCTGTGTTGCCCAGGCTGGTCTTGAACTCCTGGACTCAAGCAATCCTCCTGCCTCAGCCTCTCAAAGTGTTGGGATTATAGGCGTGAGCCACTGCACCTGGCTATTGTGTCTATTTAAATGCAAGAAGTTTTCTTCCTTTCTTAGAACATAAAAATAGTAGTGTGTATTATAAATAATGGCACATTTTAATCATACATTTTTAATGATATATTTTCTGGGTGTCTTGAATATTAAAAAGTTGGGAAAGTACATCCTTGGAGGCAGCTACTTGTTCTGGTTCATTCTTTCATACAATTACAAATTATATTTACACTTCTCACAGCAATGTAGGTACAGAAGAATTGTACTTACAGTGTAAAGAAGGAACTGGGCAAAATAATTTTTCAATTTACAATCATTTAACAAATCATAAAGGAAAACTTTTCTTAAGGACTTCAGACAAATGGATCAATAGACAAGGTATCACATATACTCCCAAAATAAGGCAGAGTTGTCCCCCAAAACTATTCCCTTAGAGATGCTCACCTTATATTTGAAACATTACAGTCTTTCACGATATACTATATGCTGTCAGTAACCTGAAAAGAATACAAGTTATTGTTTTGTGTAAAACATATTAGCCTCAAACAACCTTAAGTAATGCTAACATTGCTGCTGGTAGGATAAGTTGTAAAGGAGGCACACTAACAGTCATGGTCTCTAGGATTATAAAGCTACAATTACAAGTATTTGGTGTCACTGGAAAGAAGCCTGTTAAAAATCGAAGGCAATGCTCTGTGGATTCTGAAAGCCAGCTGCCCTAGTGCTACTTACACACAGGCATACTTGTGGTTTGGGATAAATGTCCACCAACAGCATCATACATAGACCCCAAAACTGCTGTATCCCAAACAACTTAGAAAGAAAAAAGATCATCTGCTCTTAACCTATTACAGGATGCCAAAGGGGGGCACCAAGGTCAAATATGAAGTCTGAGTGACATTCCTGAAATGCGAATGTGAAGAAGGAAAGCCCATATTCTGGTTAATAGATTAATAAATCTGAAACACCTGTAACTAATAGTAAAGGCATCTATTATATCCTCTCATCTACAATTCTAAACGTTATATGCATAAGTTGGGTGACAAAGTTTTTTGGGCTCTTCTCATTGGAAGGTAAGGGGTTGCCTATTTGGCTACCTTATAGACAAACATACTAAAGCTATAAAAACACTGCCATGAAATAATTTTTTAAAAAGTAACTACCATAAAAAAATCATTAGAAAACAAGATTCCTTTCTCCCAGGTGATTTTTGGAAGCGATTCACTGATTTAGAGGCAGTTACCATCCGGTTATGTGAGATCTAGGATCCACCATTCATAGCTGTTGTATTAGAATGTTAAGATTCTCCAGCAAAAAATAAAGTTTATGTTCTTCAAACTTTTTAGAAAAATAAAACTTTCAAGTGTAGCCTCTTGCCTCAGCCTCCCAAAGTGCTGGGATTACAAGCATGAGTCATTGCACCCAGCCACAAAAATAAAACTTTTAAACAAATGTAAACCATATTGAGGTACATGAATATGCACCAAGAGGAAGGTGTTGATGGTGGAGAATTTGATCACAAATTAATCCAACTCTTTCTGAAGATAAATTTGACAATGTAAAATGAAAAGGCAAGTAGGTGTTTATGCCCTGTGACCCACTAATTGTACTTCTAGGTTTCAGCAATTAAATAGTGGAATAATTACATCATTATGATACTCCATTCAACGAGTTATGCAGCTATCTTTAAATGGCAAATACTGAAACTACATGTAAGTTCTTTGTAATGCATAGAGGACTGGAGAATATTTTCAAACAGCTACTATATGACATGGCAAAAATTGCAAGTGAGTCTTTTCCAAAACTTTTGACAATATTGCCTTCACACTACTTTTAGAGTAAAAGAAAAAGTTTTCACCTTCCAGTCCTAGCTTGTATAAGCATAGAAGAAAATATAAGATAATACACTAATTTTTTTGTGTTGTGTTTGAGATGGTCTCGCTCTGTGACTCAGGCTGGAGTACAGTGGCGCAAGCATAGCTCACTGCAACCTCAAACTCCTGGCTACAAGTGATCCTCTAGCTTCAACCATGTGAGTAGCTGCTACAGGTGTGTGTCACCACATCTGACTTAAATTACTTTTGTAGAGATGGGAGTCTTGCTATGTTGTCCAGGCTGGTCTCGAACTCCTGGCTTTAAGAAATCCTGCCTCGGCCTCCTAAAGTACTGTGATTACAGGTGTGAGCTGCTGCGCAGGGTCCCACACTATACTGCTAACATGTTATTGATTGGATTTGGAGGGGAAGACAACTTTATTATGTATCTCTTAAATTGTCTGAACTGTTAACATTTTTTTAAATGACAGAATTTAAAGCATTTTCTGAACACACTCATCCCCTTACCATAAAATACAATCACAAATTGGTGATTTGGCCTATGTGAGTTAAAAAATACTAAATATCTCCCACCTACCATAGTAAGTGTCCAAAACACTCAGTAGCTTTCACTAATTGAGTCTGTTCCGGACTCCAGGCCATCTATCTTGCTGGCAGACATCGGGATCGCTGTTTGTGTAGCAACACAAGGCACTTCCCAGCAATGCCACACACAAACATGTGAGCTGAAAACTAATAACCACAGGTAGTCTGTGTAAAACATCAGAACAAAGCCAATCTTTGTATTCTTTTTTATTTATAAATAAACTATTTTTGTAGTTAAACCCACTTTTCCTTCTAAGTAGCTTTTTGGGTTATTTCCAAATTAACCATAAAAAGCCCTTTCTCCCAACAGAAAGGAAAGCGTTTTACAGGAAAACATTGATGGGCTCTGGGATCCCAAGAGGTGCACCAGATGTTGAGTGTTCAGATAGAAGGGACAACTAACTCTAGTCTTGGAGTACAAAGATGTCAGTGAATAAGAATCATCCAAAGACGCTGAGGCATTCATTGTTTTTCACTCTTATTTGAGGTCCCCTAGAGGTGTGTTTATAGACTGGGAAAGACTCAAGGAAGCTGTTTGGAACAAACCCCTCCAAAGGATCCCAGTTAAAGGTCATCCTAGGAGCCTGGTGGATACGCTAGAAGGCTAGGGTCTAGGAGACAAAGGTCGCTCGAGTTGCTGCTTCTTATCTCATGAAAGGGAAGAACTGCTTGTTCCTTTAAGATAACTGAGAGTAAGTTAAGCAAACTTGAGAACTGTTTTTTAAACTATAAACAATAAGCAATCATTTTAAAACTCAATTATCTACCCAAATGTTCATAGCAGCATTATTCATAATAGCTTAAAAAATGCAAAAAATGTAAATGTCCCTCAATAGATGAATGGATAAAGAAAACAGAGTATTATCCATACAATGGAATATTACTTAGCAATAAAAAATGAAGTACTGATACATGCTAAAACATGGATGAACCTTGAAAATGGACTGCTTAATTAAAGAAACCACTAAAAGGCAACCACATTCCACTTATATAAAATGCCCAGAACAGGCAAACCCAGAAACAGAAGTACATTAGTGGTTGCCTAGGGTGGGAAGGGCTTATATAATATGGTTTCTTTGTGGGGTGTTGAAATGGCCTAAAATTAGATTACAGTGATGGTTGCAAAACTCTTTAATGCATTGAAAACCACGGAACTATAAATGAGTAAATTTTATGGTATGTAAACTATACCTCAATAAACTGTCAAAAAAAGAATTCATTACTAACTGGTTTTAAAAATACGATCTTCCTGCCTCTCAAGAGTAGCCCAAAAGAAAAATAAAATCTATAAACATAAACCTAAGTATATTAAGTGGATAAGAAAGCTATAATAATGTAACTGTTAAATAATTCAATTACCTAAAAGTTCTCCAGTTAATAGTCAAATAGCTTTTATAATCCAGTTATGCCTTCAAAAAAATCCATGCTTTGACATAACAGTTCAAAACTCCAAATGCATAACATTTTGTTACTAAGCAGGTAACATAAATGCCTTTTAATCCTTGATAGCTGTTACCAAATATATCCACGATTAATCTGTGGAATTGGAAGTTTCACTTCCTAGTGATTTTACATGCAGTACATTCTGAGGTCACTGGAAAAAAGTTAACCTGTATCTATACAGTATTGCACCAGAAATATTTTTTTAAGTGACAGGATTGAAAGCATTTTCCGAACACACTCATGCCTCCTTACCATAAAATACAATCACAAACTGGTGATTTGGCCTCACTTAAAAAGTTAACCTATATGTATCTATATGGTAATTGCATCACAGGGGTTAGAGTGGCCCTTCTGAAGGCTCAATCCAGCAAAATCTAAAAAAAAAAAAAAAAAAGATGCCACAAGGAAGTGCTCTTTGGAAAACTGCACTGTTCTAAATTGGTCTGACTAGTGGGCCTCAGCTGGATTCGAACAACCAGTGGCACCTGGCACTTAACGAGTGAATCTAAAGGGGTATAGCCCAGAAACCTGTACATTAGACAGTCTCCCTAGATGCTGACGTTGCCAGGTCAGGGAATTATGTTCCTGGGAATTACACTTAGTTCACTAACAGGAGGGCAATCAAAATAAGAGAGGGGCTACCCTTCGCTGGTTACGTCATCTTTAAACTCTTCATTTCCCACAGATCTAGCATCTTACAGAAAAACTACAAGTGATCATTTTTGAAGCAGTGTCAAAATATCTTGAACGTTGATGGACATGGGATGAATATACCAAACACGTTTTACGTTCTGCTGGGATAGTAAAGAATACTTTTAAATCAGGAGTACCTCTTCGAAAGTCCTTAAAATGTAATCTTTGGTCTCTAGTCAAGAGAATAATCGAGTCTTAGGAGGAATATTTAAATTGAATTTAATTAAATACAAATGTCACACACTCCCTTCATCCCAGAAATGGTCACTTCATCCTAATTAAGGAAATGGAAACTAATGATGACTTAAGCCTTATTCTGTGGAATGTGTTTAGACAAGTTCAGGCAAACACCAAACACTGAGAAGTCCCTCCACCATGCTACAACATTCTGAAAATGCTTAAATGTTAAACTCCATTCTTTGTCTAGCAGTTCAATATGAGCTGCCAAAATTTAGTCCAATTAGTCAGTTCCAAATAATGTAGGCTCCTTGGAGTCTATAACCTTGGAGTCGTGACAGTTCTCCTTTGACAGTGGACCAGGACACAGGAGCTCCTCTTTCAGATTCTTTCAGTTGGCTTGGGCAACTCTGGTTTCAGAACCATGGAAGTTCAACATGGTAGTCACCAACTCTGGAAGATCAAAATCGTGTTTCCACCCCCAGTCCTTCCGAGCATTGCTGTCATCAAATTTCATCGGCCAACTATCCGCTAGGAAAAGAGGCACAAGAGTAGCTTAAGTTATTCAGGTTGTGGATTTGCAAAAAGGTCTTGACCATTTTATATAAAGGTCTACAGTACAAAGTATAAAACAGGAAATTTCCTCGAGTAAAGCAGAACCGCTATTATGCACAGTCACCCTCTTAGGGCCGAAGACTATTAACCCATCTTTTGTCAGGCACTGTGAATTTCCACACATTATTAAAATCTCACACAACTTCATAAGAAGTTTTATACTCAAAGAGGTGCTTCCACCCACAAATTGGCAAAGTTACAGTATTTGAAGACCGGGGGCTGTTTTCATACTACCTCTATTGCTTCTATTTTTCCTTGCTTTATGTTTAAACTGTAAACAAGATGAAAGGCTAACAAGTTGTTTATTTGGAATGGAATGATTTCACCCACTTTAGAAATCATTCCCCAAAATCAAAGCTTCTGCTGGCTTGGGCTCAACAATTTCTTTGGGCTAGGCTCCTTCTCCAAAAGGTGTCTGGACCCTTGGGAAAGATCTATGCTCTCCTTATCCTTCCAAGGTTTACGTCCTCCAGGGACTCACGGTAAAGGCCTTTGCCAGCAGGTACGAACCTATGGCCTGCCGAACGGCATCCACGTTGTATGTGATCTGGAATTCCGGCACGTGCTTGAGGACCTCCTGGGCCAGCTCCTCGGGTGTGAAGCTCATGGCGCTGACATTGTAGGTCCTCATGGAGAGGGACTCGGCCGGGGCCTCCATGACCTCCAGGGTGGCCCTGAGGCAGTCGTCAATGTACATCATGGGCAGCCTTGTGTGGGCTTCCAGGTTGCACTCGAATTTGCCATGCTTTGCGGCATCATGAAAAATCTGGACTGCATAGTCTGAAAGGGAATCCCGTGTGTGGGTTATAACAAAACAATGAACGAGCCTCTTGGATCGAGGCAGCAGTTCTCAAATGTTCTAGTCTCAGAGCCTTTTTATAATGGATTCTTAAAAATTAAGAACTCCAGTCAAGCTCAGTGACTCACGCCTGCAGTCCCAGCACTTTGGGAGGCCGAGGCAGGTAGATCATCTGAGATCAGGAGTTCAAGACCAGCCTGTCCAACATAGTGAAACCCCATCTTTACTAAAAATACAAAAATTAGGCAGGTGTGATGGCACACATCTGTAATCCCTGCTACTTGGGAGACTGAGGCATGAGAATCACTCGAACCCAGGAGACAGGAGAGTGCAGTGAGCTGAGATGGCGCCACTGCACTCCAGCCTGGGGGACAGAGCGAGACTCTATCTCAAAAAAAAAAAAAAAAAAGAATTGAGAACTCCCAAAGAGATCTGACTAATGTGGGTTATATCAATATTTACTGTAACAGAGTTAACTGAGAATTATTTAGAATATTACCTTTTAAAATGACAATAAGCCTATCACATATTAATATGTGTAACATTTTATAGGAAAAAGAGTATATTTTCTAAACAAACAAAAGGTACTGAGAAGGATGGTCTGTGATACATTCTAAAAGTCTCTTTAGGGTCTGGCTTGATAGGGGTCTGCTGGAGCCCCCGTCTGCTTCTGTATCCAGTCCGTTCTTATCTTACAAGCCACACCACCTCTGGAAAACTCCACGATGCATTTGTGAAAGGAGAGTGAAAAAGGCCAGTAACGTCTCCATATTGATAAGAGTTTTGACCCTCAAGACCCCTTGAAAGTGTCTTGAGGATGCCCGGGCCCAGACCATACTTGGGAAGCACCATATTAAAAAGCAGCAGCTTTGTAAGGCCGCCTTCCAGATCTCTCTGATGTGGTCAAGTATCTTCTATATCCGTTCTCAGGACCACGGATGTGGAAAGGATACCTGACGTGGCATTTATGAAAGAATGAGTGTTTGAGTCCAAAATAATCATCATCTTTACGTTCCCTTCACATACACAATGCCTAGAGTCTATTTGAATAGGGCTGTCTCTGCGCGTTAAGAAACAAGAGGCTGTTGCTTACTGGGGCTCTTTGTACACTGAGTCACAGATTTGTTCTTGAATATTACGTTTTATTCTGGCGCTTGGGTGGCCAATCCCGAGCTGGACCGACAACGCTGGCATGTGCTACCCTTAGTGAGTGTAAGCCAGTTGGGTTCACTGTGCTTTTAAAATGCACATCGAGAGACAACACAGAAACTCTGGTCGCCATACAGCTAAAAATATAGCACATTCATTTACCACAACGACAACTCCTCCTAGCAATCAGTGTATTTTTTTTTTTTTTTTTTTTTTTGGTGGTTTTTGTTGTTTTTTATTTTTGAAACAGGGTCTCACTCTGTCACCCAGGCTGGAGTGCAGTGGCTCGATCTCAGCTCACTGCAGCCTTGGCCTTCTGGGCTCAAGAGACCCTCCTGCCTCAGGTTGCCCGGTAGCTGGGACTACAGGTGTGGGCCATCAGGCCTGGCTAATTTTTGTTTATTTTTCATAGAGACAAGATCCCACTGTGTTGTCCAGGCTGGTCTCTGGCTAGAGTGATCCTCCTGCCTCAGCTTCCCAAACTGCTGGAATGATAGGCATGAGCCTCCGCACCTGGCTAGAAAGCCTATCTAACATACAAGAGACGTAAGAAATAGAAAACACTTAACCAGTTGTTCCTCCTCCAGGCTGGGAGTCAGCTGAAATGATTCCAGGATATCTCAGGCATCGGAAATCTAACCCATACCGGTAATGATAATACTATGAAAAAGAGAAAACATATTCAGACACAGATGTTTTAAATCAGATGGATGCAAAACAATCTGCTTTTCTGAAATCTCATTCCATGCAGTTATATTTAAATACTCCTAAAGAAAATAAAGACTCCTAAGTTTTTATCTTTAAAAAAAAAATCAACTTTTTGGTGATACATCAATGCTGTAAATAACACATTAGCCTACAGTAGGGCTTTCCAGCCTCTCTTTGGAAAGGTGCCACTGATTATCATCCTAAACGTTTCAGCCTGAATACATTCCCACACATGGCACGGGGAAGAGCAGAGGAGAGAACAGTAGATGAGAGGGCCGTGGCTATGACCGAGCTGGAGGAGCAGGCAGCAACTCAAATCTACTAGAGTATAAAGATAAAGAGTATTTTGCAGTAGTTCACGTCTATAATTCCAGCACTTTGGGATGCTGAAGTGGGTGGATCACTTGAGGTCAGAAGTTTGAGACCAGCCTGACCAACATGGCAAACCACTGCCTCTACTAAAAATATAAAATTTAGCGGGGCGTGGTGGCACGTGCCTATAATCCCAGCTACTTCGGAGGCTGAGGCATGAGAATCCCTTGAACCCAGGAGGCAGAGGCTGCTATGAGCTCAGATCACGCCACCACACTCCAGCCTGGGCGACAGAGCAAGACTCTGTCTCAAAAAACAAACAAACAAACAAACAAACCCAAGATGTTTGAAGTTTTCTGTAGGTTTTAGAGTTACTACCAATGGCTACCAATACTGGGAGCCAGAAAGAATGGTGGGGTACAAGTAAGACAAGTAGCAAATGAAGAGATGGGGGCTGTGCACGGGGCACCCAGGAAGTGCTAAGTGTTCCCACACGGCTGAGGAGGTTTCAGGAGCTGAGACACCTGCCACATGACAAACCCAATGAGTTAAGTAAGCGACTCTGGGGCTGAGATCCGAGAAGAGGGAAAGGTCCTCCAGGGATGAATCACCAGGCCTTGGAGGCAAAAAGAATGAGAAAGCAAACAGCAAATGGTGCCAGCCGGGGCACATTCAGCAATCTCGTTGAGTGATACTTACTTCTCCCATGAGCTCCGCGTGGACCTTGGACACCCCGTAGATGGTCCTGGGTCTCTGAATACAGAGGTCGGGGGTTGGGTTCCGCGGAGAGGTGGGTCCAAAGGCCCCGATCGTGCTAGGCACAAACAATCGCAGATTGTGTTCCGCGGCCACATCCAGGATGTTATGCAGGCCTGAAATGAACAGACACGATCAGAATCTGAAAACATCTCTTCTTAAAGAACTGGAAAAACTGGCACATCACATCCAGCCAGAGCCAGATGCTTACCAGTTATGTTCACTGCTCTCGCCAGGGGAACATTTGCTTCTCCAACGGCGCTCAGCAAAGCGCTGTAATGAAACAGCCAGGTGATGCGGTTGTTTACCACAATCTCCCGCAGATTCTTGTAATCCAAGATATCAGAGTAAATGAACGGACCTGCAAGGAACATACATTGAAACCACGGATGTGAAAAGGGTTGTGAACTACATGGACCTTTCCCCTTTTCCCCGTTGACTTGTGAATTTCATTGGTAGCCATGCGGTAACCAAGCCAGCTGGGCACGAGGCAGCATTTTTCTTATGGAAGAATCACAAGTCACAGTCAGCCCCCAGGTAATGACAGCAAACGCTCCTATAGGACCTGCCTGGGCCAGGCCCTGTTCTAAGGACTTTATGTACATTTCTTTTCCATACAGCCTTGGAGGTAAACACATTTTACTGATGAGGAAACAGGCACAGAGAGGTTAAGTGACTTGCCAGGATCAGAGAACAAGTGGAGGAATTGGGGTTGCAGCTAGGCATCGGCTCCAGAGTGGGTGCTGTTCCTCCCAGCCCTGCATGCACAGAGTGGCTTCACTCTGCTTCCAAGGTGCACATTTGAAAAGGAATAGAGAAACGGACTCATTAAACACCACCACCACCTTGGTATAGAAGAGCCACAAATCATGAGTTTATCATACTTAATTACACAGAGGTAAAGTTGATTTTGTTCTGTGCCAGTTTTCCCCACTTACAGCAAACTGTCACTCTTCCCCCATGGTGAGCAGCAAAAGGCTGATGCTGAACCAGGAAAGACTAGGGGGCATTACAAAACCATATTTCTGGGGCAGCAGGCACAGTTGTGCTCTGTCGCTCAGACTGGAATGCAGTGATGCAATCATGATTCACTGCAGCCTCCATCTCCTGGGCTCAAGCGGTCCTCCCAAGTAGCTAGGACCACAGGCATGTGCCACCATGCCAAGCTAATTTTTTATTTCTTGCGGAGACAGGGTCTCACTATATTGCCCAGGCTAGTCTTGAACTCCTGGACTCAAGTGATCCTCCCACCTCAGCCTCCCAAATTGTTGGGATTACAGGTGTGAGCCACCATGCCTAGTCATAAAAACATTTTTGAAGCAGTAAAAAACCTGACTAGAAGAGCTTGATTTTTTTGGGGGTGTGTGTGTGTGTGTGTGTGTATGTGTGTAGTACTTTAAGAGCAATTCTACACTGGAACATCAGGATTTATTTTTCCAAATTTCTAAAGTTCCTTTTCTTCAGTACAGAACTTGATTTTTGTTTGTATTCTCTCCGAGTCAATAAGTTAACTTAAAACACAAAAAGACAGGAAACAAAGTTTTTATTTCAAATAACATCAAAATATATTATTCCAAAAACTTCAAGATCAAAAGAACTCTTTTGTTCTTTTATCACCTAAACAAGCAGCAGCATTAAAAATACTTATTTTTAAGTGAAATACCAGTGCCTCAATAACTTCTCTTTGAGTCATAAATTCAGCTATGAGCTGTTGCATGCACCGATTTCATGAGCTACCTCTTTGTGCTTTGAAAATTAGAGATAAAGATAAAAGCAAAACCTATGGATCTCTTACCACTGTGAAAGACATGATCGGGGGGCTTCCTGATGTCAGACAAAATCACACTGTCCTTTCCGAATCGTTTCCTAAAGGGAAAATCAACACACACAAGTTGGCAACATCTAGGATGCAATGAGTCCTGTGAAAAGTCTTTTAAAATAAGAACTGTAATTTTCTGCCAGCCTCCAAATCTCTACTTCCTCTTCATCCTCAATTCCTACACCTTCTGTTCCTGTCTCTCTCACACTCAGGCCTCTATTTCCCTGCCCACAGCTCTGTCTTCTGTTTCTCCTCTCGCCTGACTGTAACCCTACGCTTGTCACCAGTTTCTTCCTATTACCCCCGCGAGTTTTTACCTCTTCCTCATCATTCTTATGTTCTCTCCTTCTTCTTATTCTCTTATCCCATTCTCTCCAAATCCCACACTCTTCCCTTCCAGTTTGCACCTGTACTTCCCTTGGTTCCCAAACAACTAAAAGTCAAAGTGATTCACTGGGAAAAGTGTGTCTCATTGCCTAAGTTAGGAAAAGAGAGAGAGAGAGAGCAAAGAACCAGTCTGGAGATGTTGAGTCAAGGGCCTGTGACAAGTCTGTGATATTCAGAGGCAAAATAAAAATGTATTTTAGGCTGGGCACGGTAGCTCAAATCTGTAATCCCAGCACTTTGGGAAGGCGAGGTGGGCAGATCACTTGAGGCCAGGAGTTAGAAGACCAGCCTGGCAACATAGCAAGAGCCCGTCTCTACCAAAAATAAAAAAATTAGCCAAGTGTGGTGGTGGACGCCTGTAGTCCCAGTTACTCAGGAGGCTGAGGCAGGAGAATCACTTGAACCCAGGAGGTGGAGGTTACAGGGAGCCAGAATTACACCACTGCACTTCAGCCTGGGTGACAGAGTGAGGCTCCATATGTATATATATATATACACACACACACACACCACACAATTATATATATAATTTATATATAGATATGTAAATATCTATATATATCTATATATAGCAGTTATTTAGATATATCTTAACAATGGTAAGGAGCAAGAGGAGAGAAAAGATGTTTAAAAGGCATCACAGATGAGCTCCATATACTTAAGAACTCAGATTTTAAATTTCAAGTTTTTAGGGCTCTTACCTCAAAAGATTAGCAAGCCCCACTCCCAGCTGGCCAAGACCCCCTAGATGAAGAAGAAAAAAAAAGTGAAGCTTTAATGCAAATCTAACCAGTTCAATTATTCTCAGAATGTAATAACTGAGTGAGACTAGTTTTCAGTATTAGCTAACTACGTAAGTCCTAGGTTGAGCTGATATAACTGCTGCTTACTTCCAATCTTCCCAGGAACATGGTACAGCACTTAGAAATGCAATAATCGGCCGGGCGCGGTGGCTCAAGCCTGTAATCCCAGCACTTTGGGAGGCCGAGACGGGTGGATCACGAGGTCAGGAGATCGAGACCATCCTGGCTAACACGGTGAAACCCCGTCTCTACTAAAAAAATACAAAAAACTAGCCGGGCGTGGTGGCGGGCGCCTGTAGTCCCAGCTACTCGGGAGGCTGAGGCAGGAGAATGGCGTAAACCCGGGAGGCAGAGCTTGCTGTGAGCTGAGATCCGGCCACTGCACTCCAGCCTGGGCGACAGAGCGAGACTCCGTCTCAAAAAAAAAAAAAAAAAAAAAAAAAAAAAGAAATGCAATAATCTCCCCCAGGCTAGGACAGAGACCAATACAGGTAATATTGGTTTCAGAGACAGCACTCTTACCAGCATGGAGTGGTTCTGAGAAAGAGGAGAAGCAAAGGCGTAAGAAGAGGAAAATCTCATGAAAGCCAGGCACAGGTCTGGAATTTCTTGGGGCAGGAACTCAATCCTGGCCTTTATTATTTTGAGGAACTTTGAAGCTTGTCCGCTATGGGTGACAAAATCATTCAAAACCAGTATGAACAGATTCCTATCCACCTCTGGTGGGACGAGGCAGAATCCCATCCTCCATTAGAAGTGGACTGGGATATGAAAGGGCCAAGAGGCAGGGAGAAACCAAGAAGTCATTTGGAAAAGGGACAGACAACTGAATCAACAAGGCGCCACTGAGAAAGTTAAAATGAATAGTACAGCTTCCAGTTTGAAGGATTCAACATGCCATTGATAGAAACAGGAGGCCAGTGGGCTAGGAGCACGTTCAGGAAAGGACAACAGTCCATTTCATTTGAGAAAACTGATGAGGCAGGAAGATATAAAAGTGGGACTTCCTGTAAGCATTTGTTAACTTGGGAATAAAACCAGGATACCCTGAAAGATGCATCATTGGTGGAGGCGAGAGGGAATAAAATACTCGGACAACATGATGGGTGAATCTGAAGAAAGGCACAGAGGGAAATCTACTAAGCTTGAAACTTATTTCAGCATCAGAAGTAGAGAAGGCAGTAAAAGGGCACACGTCCCACACGCACGCGCGCACACGAAAATGAGAAGGATAATGCTGTAAAACCAAGGGAAGAAAGCCTGGCAAGAAAGAGAAAGTAAAACATGTCCATCAAACTGGAGGTAGGCTTGGGCTGGCCGGAAGTGACAGAGTAAAGTCTGGAGTGAGAAGGATACAAAATTAGGGGCCAAACATACTTGAGGTGAGGAGGTTCAGGGAGCAAGTCACTGGCAACGATGAGCTCAAGGGCAACAGTCAGTGCTGTGGCAACAAGTCCGTTGGCCAGACGCTAACTTACCTTCTCTATTTCCAACACGCAAATGTGCAATAACAGTTTGGGATGAATGACTCTGAGTTTAGGTTCAGGAGTCTGGCCAAGGAACAGCGTGCCTAACACCAGAATCAATGTTCTAGCCCCTGCACCTTCCTGTCCACTAGCCTTTGCTCCCCAGACTGATCCTAATATGGAAGGGAACCACGTTCCAGAGCAGCTGTTTGGCCCCCAGGTTCCTAGATTCCTTCGAACAACAATAAAAGTTATGGCAGGGAAAACCAAGTGCTGGGAACAGTGATGAAATAAGGATTTGGATTTGCAAAATTCTAAAAACCAACCAAACAAGCCAATAGTGAAAAAGGTAGTGTCTGATCAACAAGGTCAGCTGCTCTAACTTAACACTTTGTATTATTAAATACCTCATTCTGAAATCCTTTTCATAGTACAGACAGTAAATCCAGATTCTGCCATCAGGTCAAGCCTGTTTTTGCTGCATTATCGGCTACAGAGACAGGCAGTATGGTTCGGATGGCACATTACACATTCTCAAAACAAAGGCACAGACACATGGCACAGGAAAGAATCAAGCCATGGAAGTAGAAAAGAGAAAAGAAAAACTCACCTGTAATTAAGACTCGCGGATGGTCTGTGTCAGAGAAAGACGCAGAGTGGAAGTTAGCATCTGCTGGAATTTGCCGAGGGGAGATGCCCAGAAAGCGGACCGGGAGGGCAGGTGTCCAACAGCCACAGGCTGGGCTCTGCCCCACTCGCCTCAGCATCCGAATGAACAGCATTTTCTTTTCAAATACCTTGTGAGAAAAAAGGAGCAGAGTTAATGATGTGACCTTTTATCCCTCCAGCTCTTCGAAACGAACTCTTCAACTGAAATGAACACTAAGATTGTCAGCGAATGAGCAAAGCTACGCTTTTAGATTCAGGAATCGAACTAAAGAGACTGCTGAGTTCGCCGATAGGAAGCCAGTCAAGGGCCTCCCGTGAGCCAGGCCCTGTGATAAAGGGATAAAGTGTTGCTCACACAAAGTCCGGCCAAACAAAGGCTGAACTGAGATTCAGAACTGACACCACACAACGCTGACACCAGCTGGGATCTAATGCAACAGAGGCGGTGACTGCACGGAGAACCTGCACACCACAGAGACAGTTGGTGGGTCCTAGCAAAGGCTTTACGTCTTGACTACAACTGTTATCAACTTGTCCACACAACATCGGAGGATACAAATGGGTCCCAGATTAAATATTAAATACAAAGTGCCCTATATATCTTGCATTAACACTCACATGTTACAATGAAGCAGCCTGGAAAAGCAGAAGGTTAAGATAAAAAGGCCCGTCGCAATATTTAGTAAGCTGGGAAGGATTTTTGTTTTTCCATCGTCTCTGTAGAAAGGGTCACGTAGAAAAGCCATTTTCTTATTGTTTCAGAGATCACACAATTTAGCCTAGCTCCTCCTCCTCATCAGCTTTAGTACCAGCTGACCATGAAATCAGCCCTGGCCTCAGAGGTCAAGACGGTCCAGTCACATATGGCTTGAGACTGCCATATTCCTCAACCTGTCCCCAACACCCAGGCAAGCATGTCTTCAGAGCAGCTGCCCAGCTTGCTTTGCTGGTTCTAACAGCAAACCCCCCAGCCTCCCTACCGGCTGGCCTATCACAGACTACACACTGACCTGTGGCCTCTACTTTCTCACCCGCTGGAAGAGGAAGATCTCTTCCAACAGAAAAAGCAGGTGAGCCTCAAAGCCGACTCAGGTGTCCCATCCCCTCAAGCATCTTCTATTTTGCATTATAAAGGGAGAAAAAGTAAACCACAGTTAGAGACATTTCCCATAAGACATAAACTCATAGGAAGGTACTCAGTGCCTCAAGTAGATTTAAGACAGTGATTCCAAGTTAAATGCCAGAAGTAGCAGAAGCTTTCTTGCAATCCCTAATCATACCAAAACCCAAATTACAGGAAACAAAAGGAAAATAATGTCTTTTCGAAACACATACCTTTTCATACCTTTCTGGATCATGAAGGTTTTGCTCTTTAGTACTCCAAAACAAGACAGGCGGAAGCTGCCTAGTGGCTTCTGTGGGTCAGTGACTGGACCCACCAGGTGTCCAGAATCTAGAAGACACCTGAGGCCCTTCACCCCAGCTAATGTTCTCAAATAAGTGAGCAGAAGAGAACCTTCTCACTGTGGGCACATCTCTGCTTTCACTGCACAGGCCCAAAGTGATGAGACAGGTGTCCAGGATGGGCCACATTACGGGAAAGGCCTCAGCTTTTCCTCAAGCTGACCTTAGAGGAATGCTAAGTGTAGCCACCGCTGACACCTGAAACCAGGTAAGAACTTGGATTCTTAAAGTCACTTATTTCAGCAAGTGCAAAGGGATATGGAGGAAGCCCAGAGACATTTCCCAGAATATTCGAGACTGAAAGACAATTCCAATTCCCGAAAGCAAAATAACGAATGGTCACAGTTAAAAAGGGTTTTTTTAATTTAAAAATGGAAAAGACGGGAGCTGCGGGGAAGAGCAAACCCTGAAGATATGAAACAGGTACAACTGTATTCATCGCTTCATCGCTTTCTCCACAAAGGGAAAGCATGAAGGAGGCACCCAACAAATTGTTAAATGAATGTGAAGTTCAGTTCAACAACATGGACAGTTCGTAGCGGAGTTGGTTCTTCTTAATTCACTATTATTAGTAGCTAACATTTTTTGCTGTTTATATACCACAAGCTGGTGAGTGCTCAACGGTACTACCACAAGCACCACTCCCCTAGAAAACCTAGTTCTCAACCACTGCGCAGCAATACTGCCTCTATTACAGAATCACTTTAATACATAGGTATTATAAACAAAAATAATTTAAAAACCCTCCAACCGTCTACAGCATGTAGCTTTTCTTGTTGCTCCTGCCAAGTTAAACTTAATACTCTTAAGGCAGAAGTTCTCTAATTTTTTGGTCTTTATATATATCTATGTTTCATATCTATGTTTCATATCTATATAAAGACCAAAAAAATAGAGTCTGTATATTATGCTCTATATATTTGGTCTATGGATCAAAAAATTATGGTCTATACATATCACTCCTTTATACTCTTAAAAATGGAGAACTCCAAAATGTTACTGTTTATGTTGGTTGTATCTATTAATATTTAGTGTTAGAAAGCAAAACAAATAAATGTTTAACATCTTTATGAATTCATTTAAAAACAATAAACATGTTAACATAAACATCATTAAAATAACTATATTTTCAAGATCCTGAGATAGAAGAATTGCTTGAAGCGAGGATGTGGAGGTTGCAGTGAGCCGAGATGGTGCCTCTGCACTCCACTCCAGCCTGGTAGACAGAGCAAGGTTACATCTCAAAAAAAAAAAAAAAACCTGTTTTCCAATACGAAAAATATTCAGTGGAAGGAGTGCCATTATTTTAAACTTTATACTTCTCTTTGATTAAAAAACAAAAAACAAAAAAACCCTGGATGTTCATATCTGCTTCTGCATTTTGTTTCTCCAATTGAAAAAAAATCCAAACACAGCAAAGCAGTGAAAAAGAGGAAACGGTATTTTATTCATTTTTTCAAATAATTCTGGAAGTTCATCTTTGCTACCACTCCAAAACTCAGTGCATCGGTCTTCTTAAAGGTTAGTTGTGATGCGGAATCTGAAAGCTTATCGATGAACTTTGTGTACTTTTCTACATTAAAACTTAATTTAATGCTTTAACCCAATGGTCCCCAACCTTTTTAGCACCAGGGACCAGTTTTGTGGAAGACAATTTTCCATAGACTGGGAGGAAGGGGGGTGGTTTCGGGATGATTCAAGCACATTCCATTTATTGTGCACTTTATTTCTATTATTATTGCATTGTAATATATAATAAAATAATTATACAACTCACCATAATCTAGAATCAGTGGGAGCCCTGAGGTTGTTTTCCTGCAACTAGATGATCCCATCTAGTAACAGATCATCAGACATTAGATTCTCATAAGGAGTGTGCAACCTAGATCCCTGGCATGTGCAGTTCACAATAGGATTTGCGCTTCTATGAGACTCTACTGCTGCAGCTGATCTGACAGGAGGCAGAGCTCAGGCGAGCAATGGGGAGCAGCTGTACATACAGGTGAAGCTTTATTCATTCACTCAATCACTGCCGCTCACCTCCTGCTGTGCAGTCTGACTCCTGACAGCCCATGGGCTGGCACGGCTTTAAATGGATCTTTTAGCCCTGCATGACTTTATACCTTCATGCATTAGCCTTTTGGAAAATATTGGTTCAGTACGTTATGTGCATTGTCCAAATATTAACACACTTCACTATATGATATTAAAAAATCCTACTAGTTAATATCACCACTGATCTCGTCAGAAAATTCCTAAGTATGGGGAAGCTGTCAAGTTCATGGTGGTAAATACAAATTAATTGGCAACAAACACTGTTAGTTGTTTCCTTGAAGTGACAGGCTCACTTCCTTCATGTTTTAGAATATGTCTGGCAATTATCCAAGTATGAATACTCATTGTTTGTCAGTCTGTCAAGCAAAAATGGTTTTCTATGAAGAAAAGTGGCCAGTTCAGCTCACAATTCAATCACACGCTGCTTCACCTGAAGACAACCATCACACTTTGAAATATGTCATAGAGGGCTTTATAGGCACTTCCCTACACTATATACAGCATATCAAAGAGATGCATACTCAGAAGTCAGGATTTAATCCGGACAGTCATTTTTACTGTTTCATCAGGACATTCTTAAGTAAAACTGGCAATTTTCTCTCATTTTTTATTGAAAGCATAGGGCAGTAAAGAATACAGTGACGACTAGAACAGCTTGGTACCAACTGCCTTGATTTGCACAAAGGCACCAGGAGTTTTACCCAGCATTGCTCTGGCATCATCAATGCAAGTTCAATGCACTTGTTCCAGAATGAATCATAAAATTCAAAAAAGTTATTCAACTTTGAATATCTTGGCACTACTCATGTTTGCCACCAAGCAGTCACTAAAAAGCTACTGTCTATTGTAAAGATAAAGGATTATATATTGCTATTACATATTACAATAAAAAGATTATCTAAAAAGGTATTGATTGCTTTGGTGCTGATACCAGAAGAATACAAGCAAAATGGCACCTCTAGTCTTTCTTCCATTTGTAAGGCAGAAATACACTTCTACAGTCAATATACTAACTGGGTCTTCATGTTTCAGCTAAATCTTTAATTTGGCAGATTACTGTATCGTTGGAAAGCTGAAGTGCTATGAGCTCGTTCAATGCTTTTTCATCTAAACAAGGCTTTATCATGTGTTTCTGCAACCAATGCAACTTGATAATTTATCCTGCTTTATGCTTCAACTTTGTCATTTTTAGTTTGAAAAGCCATGACAAAAATCTCTGGCTTTTAAAAAGCTCATTATATCCACACTTAAGCGATTCAGTTCATTTTTCTTCAGAGGACTCGGAATGGTTGATCTCAAAATAATGCTACTGGCACCATAATACTATTGAAAATGGTTCTGTGGCATAAGACACATAAGACCAACTACTAACAGCTATAAAGCTCAGGAAAGCTTCCACCTTGCCTTAGTTTTGCCCATTTCTCTGGAGTAAATTCCTCCGTTCCATGAGTCAGGAATACTCCGATATATTCATTTCATTTTTTTTCAGCATTTTAGGCATAGGTGGTGCAGCTGTAAGCTGAAAAATCAAGTTTTCTAATATCCCCCTTTTAAGCCAAGAATCTATCCTTAAATAGAAAAATATCTAAATATCCTTTTATTTTGGAATAAAATATTATTACATTCAAAAATCATTTTATGCCATTTGAAATTTTAGAAAGGCTTTCCAATCAAGACTACAGAGTGTACTTTTTGTTGTTTTTTCACATAGGCACAGAAAACTCTGGGATTTCAAATTAGTAACTTATTAATAGAAAATTAGGTCACAGATACAACAGGTATAAGTGAAGATAGCCAGTAAGTGCACGGTAGAAATACTAAGTGCAAATTGAGTTCATCTCTGGAAATGTAGATATTTTTATCCTAACCCTAACACCTTAGAAGATCTGAGAAACAGTAGAATACACAAGCACAAATTCCATCAGTCATCACAGGCAAAGCTCTTTGCAAGTCATGTAATCTCTGGGAAACTCACTGCACACTTGTGAGAGAACGAATGAAAAAGGTAAATAACATCTTAGTATTCTTTTAAAAAATAGTTTTGACCTCATGGACCCTACGAAAGGTTTCAGAGACCCTCCACAGTTCCCCAGATTACAATTTGAGAACAGCTGCTCTAAAGTAAAACTTTCTTTGCCAAGCTAGATACTAAATTTATATAGAGAAAGTCAAAGATGATTTTCAGCCCCTCCTACCTAAAGATCAAATGAGAGCCCATGAACTTTCTGTCCCAAGCACCTTGTTTACTTTAATTGCAAGGGATAAAGAGGAAAAGGTTAACATACTCTCCTCCACAAATAATGAAGCACTTTCCCAACCCGGGCCTCTCTGAGGTGGTCATGGAAGGTCACAACTTCTTCCATGCCCCTGCATATCCACTTATCTGCATTAACAGCAGCAGTCACACAGCAGCGGCATCGGGAAGTGAGGGGGCGATAGAAACACAGACTACAGCCCAGATGACTCCAGTGATTGCTTGCACATGGGTGGGTGGTGAAGGTGTCAAGAATATGAAAGTCTCTAATTGGGGCCACTGCAAGAATGGGCTTTCTGGAGAAGCAGATCAGGTGAGAAGACAGAAGTCAAGTGAGTTTGGTTGTGGAGATGTTAGGTTTAGGTGCCAGAGACCATATATTTGCCTCTCCCAGGAAGTTGCCATGCATGTTCGTACTCAATGCTATGTCTAGGAGGCAGACAGGAAGGCGAAACTATCACAGGTTTACATCTCAAAAATCAAATGACCCTATTCTCTGGAAAAAAAAAAGTTACCTCAGTTTCTTGGGGTGTGGCAGTGGGGGCGGGGTGGGGGGACTTAATTCAACTGTGATTGCTCTAAAGATAGATATTTTTTAGCTATTAAGGAAACTTCCACCCATAATACCGAAGACAGCTAGATATGCAGCATCAGTTTTCCTCCATGTTCTTGCTGTCATGAGATCTCCCAACATTTCTGTCTGTAATTACTCTTAGGTGTGGAGACAGTAAAAGATGTATTAAGCAATGTCTTTAGCAATTAAGCGTGAAACTAAGATATCCAGCCTCCAACGGATGAATGGATAAAGAAAATAAGGTCTACACATACAACGGAAGTTTCTCAGTCTTAAAAAAGGAGGGAATTCTGACACTTGCTACAACATGGATGAAGCTCGAAGTCATCAGGCTAAGTGAAATAAATCAGTCACCGAAAGACAAACACTGTATGACTCCACTGATGTACATTATTTAAAGTACTCAAAAAATCATAGAAACAAAGTAGAAAGCTGGCTGGTTGCCAAGGGCTGGGGTAGAGGCAGAGAAATCAGTGTTTAGTGAGCGCAGTTTCAGTTTTGCAAGATGAACAAGTGCTGGAGATTGATTAAACAACAACGTGAATATACTTAACGCTACTGAACTGTACGCTTAGAAATGTTTAGGATGGTAAATCTAATGTTATGTGATAGAAATCACAAAATTACAACAGAAAAAAGTTTTACAGTGTTCAGCACCACGAAATGACCTGCATGCATATGTGCGTGTGTGTATATATAGATATATCTAAAGAGCCAGAAAACTCGCCTAACAGATCAGTGTTGCCCCCAAAGACCTAGCAAACTCCAAACCCCCAGCCCTTGTCCTCTCCCCTCTTCCATTTGTAAACCTGTTTAAACCTACTACTCTCCCGCTGCCCGCTCCTTCCTTCCAGCCTCAGGGGTCTGCAGGAGCATTTCCGCTGCTGGTGCTCACGCCTAGCCCCTCACATCGGGCCTTCCCTGCTCTGAACTCAGCGATAACTGCCCCGTTGACAACTTCCTGGCGCCAATGCCCCCTGCCCCCTCCCCACTTCTAACTTAATACCTACGTCCATGCTCACCTTCATTTTCACTGGGTTCCCGCACTCCAATCTTATTCTGCTTCAAGGAGCAAGAACGTTTACTAGACGCGTTTGCAAGGCAGTCTGGGCTTTAAAACCTGACTCATTACATCATCATTATCACCAATGCATCCTCTTAATAGTAATGATCCAAGGAAAAATCAGGCGCCTCGTAACTACGGAGCATTGGCGAAGCATCTGCTTTCCTGAACTCTTATTTAACCCTCACAGCAATCCTGAAGCTGGGGCCTTTTCCCCTTTTTTCAGAATCCACTGACCAGCCCAAGGTCAGGCAGTTACTAACTACCAAGAGAGGTAGGTCCACCATGTCCCAAACCCTCTACCTCCACCACCCCGACTCTTCCCACTCAAGAGAAGAGATGAGCTCAGATGCCTAAGAGAAGGCAAAGAAGAAACACCCCCAGGGCCACGCAGGGGGCACCTTTCCTGGCAGCCTGCACCCCTCCCCATGGGGAGAGCACGGCCCAGCCAGGGGTTCTGGACCCGCGGTCGGCCTCGCTATGTGCGCCTGGCTTCTTGCCTTGCCAAATCTCAAGTTTCCGCGTCCTCAGAAAGGGGGCAATCACCGTGCCATCCCAATAGATTGTTGAGAGCATTTAATAAAAGCAGTCAATCTATGAAAAGCACTGTGCAAACTGCGCGGTCCATGTAAAGGCTCAATCCACATTCGCTTTCTCTCTTAAGTCTCTGGGCTGGTAAAGTCTGGGCTTTAAGTGGGGATGATCCGAAAGCTAGAAAGGATCGAGAAAATCCCAAAGCTCTAAATGTGAGCTAGGGAGAGTCTCAGAGGGAGGTCTGACTGCAGAGCGGGAGTCTCCTCCTCCCGCGAGCGGCTGCCCGGGACGGGAAGCCCATGGGGCATCCAGGACGAGGACGCGAGGTCTCAGCCTGGGCGGGTGGACAGGGTGTAGGGTCTTACCCTCCGCAGGCGATGGCTTCCCAAAGTCTGGATAAACCATTTTCGCGGGGCCGGCCATGCCCGCCCCTCTTCCCAGCGTGGGGAACCTTTTAAAAAGTGGAGGGGAGCGGGTGTCGCGCCCTGCCAACCCGGGCTGCGCCTGGGCCCTCCCCGCACCGGGCTCCCGCGCCGCCCTCCGGACTATGCGGCCACGGCCGGGACACCCGCGCGCGCCCGGGAGCGCAGAATCTGCGGCGCCGTGCAGGGCTCGCCCCGACTTCGGCCAGCCCCTGGCCACCAGCTCCGCGGCCCGTCCCCACTCCAAAAGGGGGCTCGGCTCCCTCCTCCACTCGGGGAAATGTCGGGCGACCCCTAGACTGACCTTCCTGAGCACCCCGCTGAGGCTGCGAACCCAGAGCCGGAGCTGCCCGCAGACCCAGCGCTGCCCGCAGACCCAGCGCAGGCCAACCCCGGCGCCTTTATCCCGCGCCGCCCCGCCAGGCGCACCAATCCCCGGCCGAGGAGGGGGACCGCGCGGCGCCGCGGGGGGCGGGCCGCGCACGCCCCCCGCAGGGAGGATTCAGGGACAATCAGGGCCCCGCGAGAGTCCGCGCGCATCGCCCTCTCCGCGGCGCCAGCCCTGGCGTCTGCGCGTGGCCCCGCCAGGGAGGGGCGACGCGATCAGAGTCGCACGCGACCGAAATCCGCACTCTGGAGCCGCAGAGCGCGCGGTCTTGCTGTGTTTAGCCGCTCCCTGGCAAGTGACGTGGGGAAAGAACGCAGGGCGCAGGAGAGACAGCTGGAAACGTTTGCGGGGTAGCTGCCCCAGGATTGAGGGTCTGGAGGTCAGGTGTGGGGAGACCTTGAGCGAGGCACTTCTTGGCCTCCCAGCTGGGAGGCATCGCTGAAAAATTAGGTGACCTCCAAGACCAAACACCAGCAGAGTCAGCGTCACCTGGGCGCGGGTTGGAAATGCAAATTGGCAGGGCGCACCCCAACCCCTCCGGACCTGCTGAGTCAGCATCTCTGGGGGTGGTGCCCGCGCGCCCCCAGGGGGACGCCGGTGCGCGCAGTAGCTTGAGAAGCGCGGGTCCAGGGCGCTGGTTCTCAAACTCCGCTGCATATTGCAATTACCTGGGAGCTTTTTAACCTCCAAACGCCCAGGCTGCCCCTGGACCAAATGACAGAAACTCCGGGGCTGAGGGAACGGGGACAGAGAAGTCCAGACGTAAGCATCTCTTTTAAGCTCTTAAAGCGATTCCAGTGTGCTATGAAGGCTGGACTCAAGGTATGGTCCCTGGACAAAGCAGCTCCCACTCCAGACCTACCGAACCAGGGACTCTGCATTTTCACAGGATCCCCGAGTGAGTTGCAGGCGCCTTCGGTTTGGGAGAAACAACTCTAAGATGTCTTCTCACATTAAGAATCTGTGATTTTCTGAAATCTGTCTTGTTTTGTTTAGCGGGCTAGCCACTCCCCATTTTTTCAGCTTCTCCTTTGACTTGATCCCTGAAGATGGCTCTGCCTCTGGCGCGCTTGAAATATATCGACTAGGTCATGATCACCGTGCAATCTGCTCAGCGTAGTCTCCCCGCCTGGAGAAGTGTTATTAATGCAGTCTAAAATGACTACGGTTCTGCGGTCTGCCGAACTGCCCACGGGGGTAGGGGTTTCAGACTTTTGGCATCTCAAGAGACTTGAGATTACCGAGACCAAGATACCCACTTCAAGAGGAAAAGGTGAGGCCTCACCCAGAGACGTGATGAGGTGGGATAAAGGCCACGGGGGACCAGAATGCTGACCCAGGCAACCTCTCCCTGCCACGCTGCCCTTTGTAATACTCCGTATCGTATCATGAGGAGCTATTTTTCGTTCTCCACAAATTTGGTGGTGAATGGAAGAGGATATCAAGCTCACTTTGAGTGGGACTGAGGTAGGAGGCAGGGCTCAGACACCAGACCAGACTGAGGACAAACTAAAGCAGGGTCAGGGCCAAAGCAGCTTTCCCTCAGATAGGCTCACAGGGTGCCACGTCAGTTTACCGTTGCCATGGCAATACCAGGGAGTTACTGCCCGTTTCCATGGCAGTAATCCAATAATGACCACCCCTTCCCTAGATATTTCTGCATAAACTGCCCCTTAATCTGCATATAATTAAAAGTGGGTATAAATATGACTGCAAAACTGCCCAGAGCTGCTCCTCTCTGCCTATGGGGGAGCCCTGCTCTGCAGGAGCGATCACGAAGCTGTAACCCTGCCTCTTCCATAAAGCTGTTTTCTTCTACCTCTGGCTTGCCCTTGAATTCTCTCCTGGGCAAGGCCAAGAACCCTCCTGGTCGAAGCTCCATTTTGGGGCTCACCTGCCCTGCATCAGGACTACAGGTGGGAACCTTACAGAGTAGAGCGATCCACTGATACTGGCTCTGGTCTGCATTGGGGAATGGAGAACGGCCGGGCGGAGGCACAGATCATAGCTTCGACCTTTGTTCTTGGGGACAGGACAAGGGGAAGGTGTGATTCCAGGGACTGAAAAGTGGGTGGTTTCTGGCTACCTCGCATCTACTTCCTCTCTTCCCCATGCAAAGAGGCTGAAGTGAATGGCGTCAGTCCTCGCCCTCCTCAGTCAAGGGACAGACACTGTCTGAGATTTAAATCCTGTCCCCACTAGCAGAGGCCCTCTGAGGCCAGTCCTGCCCAGGGACACTGCCTGTGTGCTTCCTGACTCTAGGGCCGCCTTGGGTTTCTGCCCCTTCAGGCTGCTTCTCCAGTCCTCCCAGTGAGTCTGGGTCCTCCTCAGACCCTTTGGCTTCTGTCTGCAGAATAAGTTTCTGTCCTAACTTACGGAGTGAAAATGTTCAGAATTTCTCTCCATTTTCAGGGTTGAGATTCTGGCTCTAAAATCACAAACCCAAATAACAAAAATAAATAAAATAAGTACAAATAGCCTCTAGTCTGTATTCATATAAATAAATAACTGAATGAGTGACTAAGTCGGGGGAAGGGGCAGCTCTTTGTTTTCTTTGAGGCAAGATCTTACTCTGTTGCCCAGACTGGAGGGCAGTGATGTGCTGTCAGCTCACTGCAGCCTGGTCAACAACTCTTTCTTGCAGAATTCCAATTAATACATGTAGAAGGAATAAGAGACATGGAAAATCACCACTGAAACTCTACTGCAATCATTGCTGCAGGCAGGGTCCCCAGATGTGGCAAAATTAGCTGGGGAAAACTTAAGGAGAAGCAAGATATTTGCATAGTCTCAGAGCATCTCTCCCAAAATAGATGTTTGTCAATAACAAAGGGAAAAATATTAACTTTGCAGTGAGGAAAACTGGCACTACCACCTTAACCACGTGACCCAGGTTTACCTCTCCAGAAACGTGTTGACAGAGGAGGCGCTGGGAAGAGTGCAGCGCGCTGGAGGTTTTCCTACCCAACAATACACAATCTCACTGCGAGAAAACATTAGACGACCCAAGTGGAGGGACATTGCAACAAGATAACTGACCAGTACCCTTCAGAAGTCTCAAAGTCACGAAAGACAGGAAGACTGAGGAACTGTCACAGATTAAGGAGACAATGACTCCTGTCAAGTGAAATCCTGGATTAGATCTTGGGACAGAAAAAGAGCATCAGTGGAAAAACCAGTGAAACATGAATAAACTTTCTAGTTTAGTTCATAGTACAGTGCTCTTTTTACTTCCTTATAGATGACTTCTCCATTAGAGTTGTACTATGGTTATGTAAGAGGTTAATATAAGGGGGTGCTGGGTGAAGGATACAAAGGAACTCTCTACTATTTTTGCAACCTTGTCTGTCTAAAATGATCTTGGCCAGGCATGGTAGCTCACACCTTTAATCCCAGCACTTTGGGAGGCTGAGGCAAGTGGATCACTTGAGGTCAGGAGTTTGAGACCAGCCTGGCCAACATGGTAAAACCCTGCCTCTACTAAACAAACAAACAAACAAAGACAAAAATTAGTCGGGCGTAGTGCCACGTGCCTGCAATCCCAGTTACTTGGGAGGTTGAGGCAAGAGAATCACTTGAACCCGGGAGGCAGAGGTTGCAGTGAACTGAGATCACGCCACTGCACTCCAGCCTGGGTGACAGAGCGAGACTCTATCTCAAGAAAGAAAACAAATAAAAAAGATCTTAAAATAAAAACTTTAAAATGTATCTTGATAAGTTAAAAAAAAAATGCAGTAAAATTTGTCACTTGGTAAAAATGACTAAAGAGCTTCCTGACAGATGTTTATATATAAAATTTCACTTGGGAAAAATATACTTTGCAGAAATAATGACCACAAAAGTAGACCGACAAAGGGAGAAATGGTTTAAACCTGAAATGAGCAAAATCACTGGATATTGAATCGAATCTTTGTTGCAAAATTTAATAGAAACTAATGAATTACAAATAAAATTCAGTAAAGGAAAAAGGAAAAGGAGGGAAAATGAAATCATTCATAGAAAATTGATTACAGGCTTAAATTTCTAAATGAAAAGATTTTTTCTTTGTATGCAATTAGAGAATGTGAATACAATTGTGACCATAAGTTCCTAAACAGGGCATATCAAAACATTCTGTTTTAGTTTGTTTGCTTAAGATACCTAGATGTATGGCTCAGGAAGAATGGACAAAATATTCAAATTCCATGCTTCATTTCAAGATTCCACAGTGCTTTAAAATATGAAGGGAGAGGCTTGTTTCTGTATAAGGTCTAATAGCATTGCCTGGACAGGTACTTATGCCCAGAATGACTAAAGAAATTAAGCCCCAGGGAACATGCAAGTAAATTACATCACCAAGCCACAACTTCTGTCCTGAGTTATTAACGAAAAAGTAAATAAATAAATAAAAGCACCAGGTCTCCTCTTCCAATTGCAGGAGTAGAGGGTCTAGAAATGTAATGTCCCATACAATAGTCACTGGCCACATGTGGCTATTCATGCCTTGCAATGTAGCTAGTTTGAACTAAAATGTGCTGTCAAACACCAGATTTTGAAGATATAGTGTTTAAAAATGTGACTATCCATTAATGAATTTCATATTGATTGTATGTTAAATGGAAAATATTTTTAATAAGGTAAGTTAAATAAAACATTACAATTCATTTCACCTTTTGTTTTACTCTTGTGATTAATAGAAATTTTTAAATAATATATGTGGCTCATATTAGATTCCCATAGAACAGCACTGACCTAGAAGTTCTGAGAGAAAGTTCTGTAGGCTATGGACACCCTCTTTCTCCGTTATTTGTAAAAGGCCAGTCTTGACCCTTCATTGGTCTAAGAATTACTTAGACCCTTGAAGATTTCCACCACCCAGCAGAAGCAATGAAAGCAATGCTGGTAACATCTAAAATAAAAATCCAAGCCATGTCCTATAATTCACAACCTCCTTCTAGAGAGAAATTACTATTTCTGAAAAAACAAACAAA